AGATCCACTTTTATTTGATTTCCACAAATCAAGCCAATCAACCCCAATCTTCTCCCAACCGTTGCACCTAGTTTTTAGGTATAAAAGGGGTCTCTTGGGTCTACTTTTCACATCCATTCCTCACACATTTCATAGCTTTACATTGCATCATTCCATAAACTTTTTACATAGCTTTTTAGAGCCATTTCTTGAGGAATTGAGTGTGTTCTTGATCTAAATTAGTTTACTCATATTCTACTCTTTAAGAGAGTTTTTGTTCTTGAGTGGTTAAGTGTTGTGAACACTTTAAGGGAGGTTTGTTTCCTTGGTTGTACGAAGGAAGGGCATATTCCTTCGGGTTGAAGTCTTGGAGTGCGGTACCTCCGAGCAAGTGTATTGAGGCTCGTGGGACTCGAGTTCTCAGGTTGTAACGATTTGTTAAGCACCCGTAAGCTTAACGGAAGTAGTGTAGCTCGAGAGAGTCTCTCGGGAGACTGGACTAGCCACACGTTGTGGTGAACCAGTATAAATCTTGGTGTGCTCCCTTTACTCCTTTTTATTCCGCTCTTTACTTTATCCCTGCAATTTTTATTCCGTGAAAATTTATAAACATTCTCGTGCCTCACTATTCACCCCCCTCTAGTGAAGGGCACCTATTCTAACACCGGACACTAGGTGTTCCACTTCAGGCTATTATGTGTTTTTGGGGGATAATCTTGTTTCCTGGTTGTCCAAACGACAGGCCACTACTTCTCTATCCAGTGCAGATGCTGAGTACAGGGCCGTAGCAAATGCCGTTGTAGAAACCACTTGGGTACGCAACCTCCTTCTTAAGCTGCAGTAACCTCTCCAGCGTGCCACTCTTGTCTTCTGCGACAACGTTAGTGCCGTTTATCTCTCAACCAATCCAGTCCAGCACCAACGCACCAAGCACGTTAAGGTAGACTGATAAGGTATCGTATCGAGATAGGGAAGGTTGAGCACCTTCGAGCTATAGAATTGTGGAAAAGGAAGAGAGAATCGCACGACACTTTGTTCAGCAGAATAGAAGAAACGAGAGGGAAGAGGAAGAGATTAGAGTTTAGGGAAAATGGTTTCTTATTGATTCCATAATTCTAAACACGTACATCTCAATTTATAGAATGGAACTCTAGAATCCTAAGAGAGTCCAATCTCTAAAAGAAACTAAATAAAATAAGAAACTAATTAATAACCTAACAAAAATAATAGTCTCTAATAATAAATAACTAACCATATAGAATACCTAACCTATAATAATAATAATAATAATAATAATAATAATAATAATAATAATAATAATAAACAACTAAGTTGGCCTGATGGTTTTAGTAGTGGTTTCTTTAAATGCCAATGGAAGAAGGTGGGGGGTCTGATAACCCAAGCCATTCAAGAATTTTTCCTGAAGGAGGATACTATCAAACAAATTAATGCAACCAACTTAGTTGTCATCCCTAAATGTGAAGATCCTAAGAGTCCTACTGACCTTAGGCCAATAGCATGCTGCAATGTATTATATAAAGTCATAGCCAAAATCATTTGCAACAGGCTCAAAAAAGTACTGCCAAGCATCATAAATTTGAATCAGGGGGCCTTTGTTGAAGGGAGAGAGCTTGTGCACAACGTGTTACTTTGTCAAGAACTTGCGAGAGGCTATAGTAGAAAGGACATCTCCCCTAGATGCTTAATGAAATTGGATCTGCAAAAAGCATATGATAATGTTAGTTGGAAGGCCTTATTTCAGATCCTCATCTTGCTGAAGTTCCCTTCGAAGTTTATAATCTGGATCAAGTTTTGTGTGACTACTCCAACCTATTCAATCCTGTTTGCTGGAGAGAGCTTTGGGTTTTTCAGAGGAGGAAAGGGCATTAGGCAAGGAGATCCAGTCTCCCCACTTCTTTTTGTTATCATCATGGAATACCTGACCAGAACATTCCTATGGTTTGCTTCAAAAGAAAAATTTGGATACCACCCTATGTGTAAGTCCACGAACCTCATTAATATCATTTTTGCTGATGACC